AAAAAAAATACTTTAAATAACCAAATATGCAAATTTTATTCTATCCAGCAATCCTCCACCAAACACACTGCTAATGACTTCAACAACTTTCTAGAAACACCTCGATATACCAAGTAAAAGATAATAGAATTTTCAGCCAAAAGGCTGACTCATGCAGAACTGAAAACAGATTTTCATTCTATCCGTTAAGAACATGCCAAAGGAAAATCCAACCATCAAATGGCAAACAACTACAGAGCCCAACCATTCTCAATAACAAGTTAATGATTCACTTCATCAACTTCATAAGCTATACATAGAATAGCAAGTCAGCAACAAAACACATTAGTAAAAATGATATACAACCTGAAGACATTTGAATGACAGAAATGATGCATTTTTCTGTTAAGACCTTTAAATGGAAGAAAAAAAAAAACCTTTTTATGAAAAGAAAAGGAAAAAAAAAGGGAAGAGAAAAATGAATTTTGTATCATTCAATCCTGAAACAAACGATGAAAAAGAGATAATGAAACAGTTACCAGGCAACTAGTGTGGAAGGCATCCAAATAAGCATCGTCCAAAGGCGAATGCACGACCCTACTGCTTGCATCCAAAAACCCATCAACAATGCTGCTCACGTTCTCACGTCCAATCTCTTGTATCAACTTTTCTTCATCTGCTTCGTCACCGGCATATGGGTCGTCAGCTTCCTCAGAGTACTTAACATTGCTTCTGTCCACTACCATCCGTCTCTCTCCTCTCCCCCGTCCCTTCCCTCTTCTCCTTCTCCTTCCCCTTCCCCTTCCCCTTCCCCTTCCCCTTCCGCTCTTGCTCTCACCATCCCACCAGCATCCTTGCCATCACCTGCACGCGAAAGGATTCCCATTGCCTTCTTCACAGCCTCTTCCTGGCTCAACTTAGGCTGAGCTGGGGATGGGTCTGCGGCAGACGCAGACCTGGAAGGCTGCTGCCGGACCCGAAGATGACGGTTTTCTTCCTTGACTTGCGCTGCAGGATCAGATTGCTTCAAAGGTTTCCCTCCTCCAGCGCCGGGTAAAACTGAGAGTATGCTAGATGGGAGATTAGTTTCACTCGACTGAGTGGGTTTCGGCTTCACCGCTGCTTCAATGGCGGAATCAAAACCATCGACATCCTTTTTCGGGACGAAAGTAAGTTGCTTGAATTGCCCAGTTAGTGACGACTCATCAGCAGCAGATGATTCGCTGGCCACCCGGCCACGACCAGACCCAAATTGAGGCTGCCTGACGGGGGAAACAAAGGAAGAAAAAGATGGAAGAACTGGGTCAGACGGCCTACTACGGCCGCGACCAGGTCCAACTTGGGTTGGCTGCGGCGAGCCTTGCCCCGACTTATCCGATTCGGGTCGAGCAAAATCAAACTGGGAAGGAGCTGGGGGAAAGCCACCACCTTAGCCGCGTCCACGGCCGGAGGTGGAGAAGGGGGATGATGATTGGAGTAGAAAAGGAGTTTGGGTCAGCGATCCATTCTAGTGATTGCTGGAAATTTTCATAGGACCTTCCTATGAGACGCAGATACTCAAATCGAAGCTGAAACTTGAAGCTAGGGTTTTGGATTTTGCAGACAGAATGGAACGAACTTCTACGCTGGGGTTTTTTCGGATATCTTTCAGAGCACAACGACGCCGCTTAACATAAACTAAATAAATAAAAATGATAATTTAAAAAAAAAATCATCAAAAACAATCTGCTAAGGGCGTGTTCTGCAAAACCCACCTGAAAGGCTGAAATTATTCCTTCCAAATCGTCTGTAGTTCTGAAGGGAGAGTTTAAAGAGAGAAAGGGATCAACTTTTTGCTTCTCTCTTGAACTGTCTCTCTGTCCTTCTCCTTGGACCAGTTTAGGGTTCTCAGTTTCAGTTCCAAGATGGTCAGTTCTCGTTTTCATTTTC